CTGCACAGGCGCCCCGTCCTGGCCTTCGCTAGCAGAGACGTAGCTCGAGGTCTCCCGCGAGTCCACCTCTGCCCCCGGCTCGGGGCCCTTCCCCAAGGCTGCCGGGGCTTGAGGGGGCAGCGGGGGCCAGAGGTGGCCTGAGCCCGGCGCAGGGGGACAAGAGCAGCAAGGACCATCGTTCCCAAAGGCGGCGTGGATCTTAGACAGGTTTCCCGTTTTCAGGGCCAGCTTTAACAGCAGCCAGTGGTGCTGGCTGAGGAAAGAGAGACCCCTTGGGCTCTGGCCCCCGGGCCGTGCCCCTGCGGCGCCTTGCTCCAGGCTCGGGGCCTTCTCAAGACTCGGCAGCTCTAAGCTCTCCGAAGGGCACGAGCCTGGGCTCTCAGGCCTCTTCCAGGCTGGAGCATCTCCCTCTGCCTGTCCACAGCACTTGGCCGCTAAGCCCTGCCGGATGTTTGCGGACTCCGGGTGCAGCAGGCTATAATAAATCACCAGTGAGACACTGCCTGGGAAAGAAAGAGGGCACGTGGTTACATTCTTGGAAGCCGGCATGCTCTGGATGGTCTGCAGGTGTAGCCGTTTTGGAAACAATATATAATTTGGCCCCCCAATTAATACTCTAGTTTTAGCTGGGCCCAAGCGATGGTGCACACCTGTGATCCCAGCACTCGGGAAGCGGAGGCAGGAGGATCGCTGGGAGTTTGAGGCCAGCCTGGGCTATGCAGTGAGTTTCAGATCAGCCTGAACTACATAGTGAGACTCTGTTTCAAAAAACAAAAAGATCCTTTCTGGGATGTTAGAGCAGGATATTTGGAGAGGAATCTAAGCAGACCCCAGCTTCTATAAGCAGCAAAAGTGTCTAAACGTAGAATTGAAAAACAAAGTTAAGTCCTGTTGGTTCTGTGCCTTCTCCCTGGAAGGTGTCTCCCACCGAAGCTCGGTGCGTGTGCCTGTGCGTGTGTGCATGTGTCATCCACAGGAACTTCTTTACACTGTCTCCACTTCAAGGGCCATCGGCTCTGTGCCCACAGATCTCAGAGCGGGCAGGGCAGGGGTGAGAAAGCCTCACAAACAAGGGCAGCAAAGCACAGGGTGAGAGTCCACGTCAAGCAGTTTCCACGGGCAGCAACAGCAACTTCCTCTGTGCACAAACATCTTAATCTCATTGTTGTCAGCTGTCGGTGTTGATCAGAAGTGTTGCCGGTGCAGTAATCTCTTTAGCAGGTTCCAGTCAGCCGCCCCCGCTGTTTCCAGCTTCCTGCCGCCCCGAAGTGTCGGGTTCAGGGTGCTGGAAATCACCGCGAGGCCTGAAAACGCTGCCGGGGGAAACCTGCGGTGCTGGGGGCTGCAGCGTGGCAGGCAGAGGAGCCCAGAGGCCCAGGACCTGTCCTGGGCATGGAGAGGACGAACCCAGGGCAGGAGCCGGGACGGGTGACACAGTCCGGCTCTCAGGGCCGCCTGCAGCAGGCACCGCCGCCACGTGCCTCTCACGCTGCTGCATTGTGACAGCCCCTGGACAGGGCGTGGCATCACCTCGCAGCGAGCCTGGGCACGGTGCACCATCAGGGACAGCGCTCCTCAAGGCCAGGCTGCTCCCTGGGCTCTGGTGCAGCCCTGGCTGCTGGCACTCAGTCAGTGCACAATGCAAGTTGGCTGAGGGAGAGGAAGAAAGAGGGGCACCCTGGGTGTGAGCCACAACTGCCTTTTCAAAAAGCACTGACTTCTTGGGATGTGCTTGATTGTGAACACATCCCTATGTAACTCAATCTTCAGTAATGCCTGGGTCCCAGATTTCTTTTTCCTTTACTTCGAATGTCTATGGCCAAGGATCCCCTCTGGAGTTTGGGCAGCAGCTCCCCCTGCAGGTGGGTGTAAGAACAGCAGGCAGGTGGATGTCCTGGGGTCCCTGAGCCACCACGATGCTCCTGGTCAGGCTGCCCCAGCCCAGCCAGAAGGTCCACGTGAGCACAGCTGGCGAGGGCCTCCATTCCGTTCCGACTCCTCTACCTGGACGTGGCCTGGCATGGGCCAGGGCACCAGTGAGTGCAGGGCTGGCTGTGCCGGGCATCATGCCATTGTCACTGGTGGGTGCACAGCGGCTCCGAGCCCACTGTCCTCCTGAGATGGTGCTTTATGAAGGGCGCTGTGGCCCCCACTCTGGGAAACAGGCTCTGCCAAGAGAAGGCAGGCGCCGACGGTGCCCATAGCCTACGCAGCTTACACCGAGGGATGAAGCTGAGTTGCGGAGGACCCACCATGTGAGCCCAGCGTTCTCCACGAAAGCAGAGCCGGGGCCGGTGGGGCAGGTGGAAGCGGTCCGCTGGAGTGGGGCCTGCTCCATCTGGCTGAATGGATCCATTTCCTGTCCTGCTGTTGTTCTACAGCCTTGGGAGGTGTCACCATTGGGGAAACTGAGTAAAGGCTACAGAGATCTCTGTTATTTCCTGAAACTGCAGCGATCTCAAAAGAAAAAGTCAAGTTGAGAAGGAAGGGTTTGGCTGGGCCGCCCGCTCTACCAAGCTGTGGCTTTAGTTGGCTACGGAAGAGGGGAGCAGCGGAAAGCCCGGTTTGCTGGGCTCTCCTGAGTCTGTCACAGGCCACAGTTTGTGAGTCTCCTCCTGCTGCAAGTGGCTGCATCTCTACAGCATGGAGCCCAGGCTGCTCCTGTCCCTCAGGGTCCAGATCTCGAGCCTCTGGGTGAGGCTCAGGGTAGGTGGCTAGGGTAGGGTGCAGGTGGGGTGAGAGCTTGGGGCTAAGCGTGGCTGCAAACACCTGCGCTTCTCCGCGCTGGGCCTGCGTGGGGCGAGCTGGTGGCCCCAGGCCAGCTGCACTGCAGGCCCAAGGCAGGAAAAGTGAGTCTGTGGGTGGGGTGGGAGCTGCTGGACTAGGGCAAGAGAGGAGGCTCAGCACTGGGAAAGCACGGTCCACGGACCCGAGCGGGGCTCATACCCGCGGCTGAGCTGAGTGAGCACCCAGCCTTGGGCAGAGCGGCTGGCTCAGCCTGTCTGGGGTACCTTAGTCCAGCTGCCGCGCGGCTGTGCTCCGCTCCTCCTGGCCCGGAGGACGCCCCCCACCCCAGTGTACACTGGGCTCTGCTGTGCCTCCAGCCAGTGCCCGAGCTCGGTTTCCCACCCTTTAAATCCACCATGAGCGAAGGACATGGAAGGAGAGGCTCGGAGAGGAAGGCATGAGGGGTCTTACCAGTCAGAAATCCAGCCAGCACCCCGGCCACGGTGCACAGTCCGGCCCACGATGCCCCCTGGGTGAAGTCTGTGGCCAGCAGCAGCAGGAGGGTGTTTTCCAGCAGCATGACCTGCGGGGCCGGGGAGAGATGCGACCTGTCAGAGATTCCTGCCCCGGCCCGAGGTTTCCTCTGTCCTCCCGGCCGAGCGTGGCTTCCCAGGTGCAGGTCTGCTGCGGGCCTAAGGCCTCTGCCCGGAGCCTTTCCCCGGTGCAGCCCATAAGTGGAATCACAATCGGCAGCTCATTTGTAAGAAAGCGCTGAAAAACCTGTGTAACTTACCGAATACAGTATCGAAAGTGAAAGACAGAGTGGTGGTTCATGTGCACGTTTGTACCCTCATGAAGCTGAAATTCATAATTTGAGTATTGTGTAGGAGAAAAAAGACTTAAATTATAATCCTGACATGCTAAAGTCTTCCACAGATTTGCCATGCCAATTCATTAGCGGCATCTGGGTCTAGAAAGCTCAAATAAGGAAGAATTAGAAAGCTTACCAGGGCTGCTTAGTGACCCTAAGAACAGACCCGCCCTGCGGACCCCAGCCAGGGCCCCCAGGCAGCATCAGGCACTAGGCAGAAGCATAGACAGCCAGGAGCCCTTCTGTCCTCATGCCCACCAGCAGCTGGGTCCCCTCCGTCCAAATTCTGAGCTTTCTCTCAGATTCACCACTTGTTTCCTGCCTTTCCTGCCGCTTTCTGGTTCTGGCCCTGTCACTTCCGGTCTGCTTCTTCCTTCTGCATCCTTGGTCTGCAGTAGCTGGTGCTGTTGTGACCGAGCCCCTCAGCTTCGAGGCCGACCCCCCATGGCGTAGGTGGTGCTGTTTACCATGACGCCCGACTTCCTGTTAGGGTCACTTCCCAGCATTCCGGCCCCTGTGATCTCCGCTGAGTCTCACCTTGAGCAAGGTCGACCTGGGCTGCTTGTGGCGGGACAGCGGCAGGTGGTTCTGTGTGCCTTCCACCCTGAGAGGCCCGGGCAGCCCGGGCACACTTTCTAACCGCCTCCGACTCCCCGGGGACCATGCCCGTCTTCCTCAGAGCGGCTCCTGAGGAAGCTCAGAGCAGTGCCACCCAAGAGCCTCTGTGGCCGCCAGGCTGCCCTCGCTGCAGGACCATGGCGACCTCACTTCCCTGATCACACGGGCTGCATCCTCTTGCCCTGCACTTGTGTCTCGCAGGCGGGCAGCTCACACCCTGAGGCCTCGTCCCCTCCCCAGCACGGGGAGGGCTGTGTGTGGCAGAAGGGAATACACGCCCCACAAGGGACAGAGACCGACCCTCGCTACAGGCGTCTCCAACTGGAAGCGATTCTGGCACGTTCCCCATCTTTTTTCTTTCCTGACATCTACCCACCCATATTCTGCTTTAGTTTTTGGTCATTCAGGTTCCAATAGTTAGGAGGTATTATTTTTTTAAAGTAGCAACCCCCTCTGCTGGACTAAAAGCTGGAAGACAGGCATCAGGCAACCTCTGAGTGGAACTGGGTGATTAACAACACATGAGGGGCCTTGGGAGACGACACCAACTACAATTGCTTTTAGGATTTTTGCTGAAGTGAAGATATTCCTTCTTTGATAGGAAGAGTACATACCCTACCACATGCTACGTCTACTGTGCGAGTCGGGGTTAAAGAAAGCTGCCCTTGCCACTTGCCAGGTAGAAGCAGGCCATCCTGTCTCTGGAAGGGCTGTCCCAGAAGTTCAGGTAGCAGAGGATGTACACGGCGCCCACCAGCAGGGTGAAGAGCCGCCAGTGGCAGGTGCTGTACACGATGTCACTCTGCTGGGCCACGAGCCAGAATGTCATCCCCAGCCAGTGGGTGCCTGGAGAGACAGAGCGGGCGGCAGTCAGGGCCCACGGAGGCGGGGGGCTGGCCGGGACACAGCTGGACTGGAAGACGTCAAAACCCCGAGGAGGTTCGTGGGGCACAATCTGCCTTTGCACACACATGCTCTGCACACTTGCGTCTCCTAAGGCCGCTGACCTAGTTTGGAGTGGCAAACTAGCCTCCCTCCACTACCAGGACTGGATGTCAGGCGCTGATGCCTCTTTCATGCAAAAAAAGCATCTGAGGAGATCACAAAACTGACTTCTAGTGCACTGTTGTCGAATTGTTAGTACAGGAGCCAGGCCCTCCACACCCAAGGGCAGAACTCCATGCGTTCCCTCTATAGCTCTTACTCCCACACTTTAAGATGAAAGATACCTTCCAGAGCTCAAGCTGAACGTTAAAATGGAGGAATACAACACAACTAACCTCTTTTTAGGAGCACAGTTGCTTTTAAAAAATGGTCTTTTCTGCCAGTAACTATTAAATGTTTGCCTGGGGCCCAAGGGCCAAAATATTTCGCAATGTCTCCAGTTCTCCTAAAACAAGAGTACACTGTTCCTTCCCGCCGGGGGCATTCACCGATGGCCAGCAAGGCCTGCTGTCCTTGGCAGGGACACACAGGCCCCATTCAGGAGTCCTCGGGGCCAGGAGGCTTCCTGTCAGCGCCATTCCTATCTATGCTGCGCAGGGGCCAGGGTTCCGCAGAGCTGTCCCATGGGAAAGGGAGGCAGCGCCCCAGATTCAGCCTTCCGGGGAGACGCACTACGCTGTACCCTGTGCACTCAGCTCCTTGCCAGAACTTCTTTTTTGCTACAGATCAAACTTGGGTCCTTGAGCTTGCGAGGCAGGTGGTGGCGCCCCTAAGCTAAGTCCCCGTTCCTCTCTGGGGACTTCTGCGGCCGGGTTCTTGGGCTGTGGCCGCGCATGCCAAGTGCCCAGCACGCACGGCCCCCCACCCTGGACGCTCCCTGTTCGTGGCTAGAGTCCACCTGAGCCCGTGCGCCTGGGCTGACTGTGCCTGCTTTGCAGAAGCTGCCCTGAGCCAGGTCTAGGCCTGCCCTTCAGTGGCCTCGGGTTTCCTGTGCCCAGGGCAGCCCGGTGCTTTGCACGGGTGTGGTATGAGCGTGGTGCATCTTCCACTCAGGCCCCTGTGGCCAGGGCACCTGTATCCCTGCTGGGCCAGCCCAGCCCTGTGTGAGGACCATGCAAGGTTGTTTGTGATGAGTTCAGCCCCGGGCAGCCTGTTACACAGCAGTAGAGGACTGGTCCATGAGGCCCTCTTACCTCCGACCACCAGAACCCAAATGTGATAGGCTCTGCAGAACAGAGCCAGGCTCAGGACGCGGGCCCCCAGCATGCCCATGCGCCACAGCTGCTGGCAGAGGAGGGCAGCCCATGGCACGGCTCGGTGACTCGGCCTCATGACATCGAGGACACAGGTGTAAGACACGAGGGCCCAGGACAGCGAGGACCAGGACAGCAGGGCACTGACCCCTGGAAAGGAATCAGACAGTTGCGGTGTTCCTGCAGGCAGTGGAGAGCCATTCCCAAGGATTCTCTGTGGGCTTTAGACCTCTTGGAAAGCCCAGCCAGCAGAAGTGCATCGCTGGTCAGACTCTTCGGTGGGGCTAACGACAGCTGTGCGCGCGCGCGCACACACACACACACACACACACACACACACACACACACACACACACACACATCTACATGCAGGAAGCAATAGCTAGGGCAAGCTAGCGGGGCTGCCTGATTCCCCTGAGCAGGGCTTTGCCAACCAGGTGTGCCTTCTCTCCCCTCGGAAGTTGCTCACCCACCTGGCACAGCGTCCGTGAAGCCTGAGGCCAGAGTGACGTAGGTCAGCAGCAGCAGGTGGGGGGCGCTCTGCAGCAGGCCTTCCAGGAGCCGGAGCCCTGCCAGATCGGCCGCCTGCAGCTGCAGCTGGCCCAGGCCGGGTTCTTGCCTGCCCCTCCGAAGTGCGGCCCAGGCATCCCAGTGCCTGAGAAGAGAACAGCTGGTGACACCGGGACAGGGCCCCCCGGGATTGCCCTTTATCTGCAGCAGTGAGGGGCGGTGAGGGTCAGCCAGTGCATAGCTGATGTCAGGGGTCACAGACAGCAAGCTGAGGGTGTCAGTTCAGGGACGGCCCTGAACTGGGCAGCTCAGCAGGCCCGGAGCCAGGCCCCATGTGGGACAGAATGAACTCCCTCCGTGCACAGAGGTAAAGACTTCAGCCGGTCCTCCCAGGCTGCAGAACTCTGTGCCCTGGAGCTGGGGCCCACGGAGAGCAGTGGGGAGGGACAGGGCTGGGCTTCCCTGGGGCCCGCAAGAGGCCCACGGGGCTGGAGCGGAGCAGTGATGTGTGGGTCCCCTGACGTAAGTCGGCTCTGAATTTCAGGTTGTGGGACTTGGATTTTTCCCTGGAAAGATGAATATTGTTTGGGGTTTGGGATAAACACATGAATATACATGTGTGTGCATGCGTGTGTATACAAGATGTGTGTGAGTGTGCACATGTGTACCTGAGTGTACACAGGAGAGGGACAGCAGGACGAAGGTTAAAACAATGCTTTCAGCAGTAATTCCTGCACAGGCCGGTGAAAAGCCAATAGTCCGAATGGGAAGGAGGGAGCTGCTGCAGGGGACACTGCGGGATGGGGACCAGGACCCGCCTGCGCGGGAGGAGGTGAGGGTGTAGGGGGCTCTGGGGCTTGGACCTGGAGCTGCCACCCCCAGGAAGAAGCCCTGAGGGTGCAGGCCACTGGGAGCTCATCAGAGCGGGCTGCTCTCCCGAGTGGAGAGGCTGGGTCCCCGAGGGTGACTGAGGGTCAGGACGGAGACGACAGCTGTGGCTGAGGGACTAGAAGTGGCCTGAGGAGGTCACCGTGGGTAGCAGAGGCCCAAGGACAGGGCCTTGGTGCTGCGTACACAGAAGGACCAGGGCCAGAAGGCGGAGCTACTGGAAAGTGGGTGGTGGTGGAGAGCCAGGCCTCAGGGACAGCAAGTCTGGAAGAATTTGGTGTCCGCAGTATGAAGGGCAGGAGTGAGGCAGAGACCACGTGTTCAGAGGGTGGTCAGAGGCTGGCACGCCCAGAGGCGGGAGAGCAGACCCCTCCGTGTTTGGTGCACCCAGGGCCCCGCCCTTCGGTGTGGAAAAGGAGAACAGACAACGCCCACCTCCTTCTGCTTCTGTAAACCCACCGGAAACCCTCTGATGCTCTCACCTGGTGGGCGCTGTGGGAAGAGGAGGGGTTGTCCAGGGCACTGTGGGCTTGGAGGCTGCGTGGGGACCTTGGGTGACCCCTCCGGCCTGCTGCACGGCGCAGTGCCCACAGCCCCATCGGGGACCCCAGTCCCCTCTCCTGAGCCAGAGCGGCACGGCCTTCGGGTCACCTCGGGAACCCCACCAGGAGCCCCTGTGGCCCTGCGGGGGCTGATCCTTGGCCAGCACTGCTGCGTCCAGGAGGAAGGCCCGGGAAGGATGTGTAGGAAAAACATTTTCCTTTTTCATGATTTGTAAGCCTGGTGAACTGAATTCTTACTGAGTCTTTGAAGCCAAGATTCCTGACACGAACTCAATGTGGAGAAAAAAAGCACAGAATCCAAAGGGCCGCCGTGCCCTGCTCCCCTTGGCAGTTTCCCCTTCCATCCTCCAGAAGGCATCTTTGCTTCGAGATGCTTCTCATTAGGCGCTGGGGTTAAACGTAGGGCCTTCTCTGAGCTACACCTCAGCTTCCCCCATTTTCAGAGTTGAGATGGTCTCCTCAGGTCACTCAGACTGGGGCTTGGATTTGTGACCCGCCTGCTTCAGCCTCCCACAGCTCAGGGATGGCAGCTGTGCGTCACCACACCTGGCTTCCATATGCATTTTACCGGTGTTGACTGCAGGAGTAAGAGGCGAAGGTGTTTCCTAGAAGCCCAAGGGAGGGAAGCATGTGTACACGAAAGGCCTACACAGGAAGAGAAACTGGACAACGGGCAGCCTGGGTGGGGACAGATGGAGCTTCAGGGCGCAGGGTGGGCCTGCTGGGGAGGGCAACGCTGGACAGTGGGAGGTGGGGTCGGCAGGACGAGGCACTGGGGTGGGGCCCACTTCTGGGAATGGGGAAGGTCTGGGTGGACCCGGGGCCTCTGCAAGCCGGGGCAGAGGCACAGCTCGGACCCAGAACCCTGGTCAGTGCAGGGAGGCAGAACCCGTGGACAGCAGGGCGATGAGGGAGGCGTGGGGCTCAGCCTGGGCCTGTGTGGTCGCCCTGACCTCCGTCCGTCCTGGCCCCTGCTCTCCCACGCTTGCTTCTGCCTGGGTTTCTGTCCCAGCCTGGGGACCCACGAGGGTCTTCTCATTTCCAGCGGCATCACAGTGGGGCAGCAGCACGAGAAGCACTTCCTGCCCACACTGACCTCCGCGGGCTGTGCCCTCCCCACCGGTGCCCTCAGGGACCCTGGGCAGCTCTGCGCCGGGCTGTGCTTGGAGAACGACAAGAACTCTGCTGATCTGGACAGGCTGGAGAATTCCTTTGGCTGTGGGATGCATCCACAGGGCAAAGCCCGGGCCCCACCCACCTCCTCCACCCCTCCGTGCGGCTCGGCTGCCTTCAGAGACTGAGCTCAATGCCACCTTCCTCTCCAACCCTCAGGGCACCATGAGTCATGAAGGTGGCAGAGAGCCCAGGATCCTGGCTGCAGTAAGCACCACACAGGCTGTCCATTAACCCAGCTGAGGTCCTTGGGGTCAACTTTATCAGTAAGCGGCAGTCTTCCCTCACCAGCGGCTGGAGCAAACCCTTGCTTAGGCACCACCCATCGCTAGGAGAATCAGACTCTGGTCTTCCTCTAACATTGGATGGTGCTGGCACCAAGGTAGCCAACAATGCAGGGTTCCGGCGATGGCTGTGTAGTGTTCCACGTGCTGTTAAATAGCCAGTCTCCACCTATCTGTGCTGGGCTTGTGCTCTGTGCCCGTAGTTTGATTGACTTTCCTTCGAGAAAAAACTCTCAGTACGCTGGGAGGCTGATGCAGGAGGATCTCAAATTTGAGCTTAGCAAATTTAGCAACTTAGAGAGAACCTGTATCAAAAATAAAAGAGAGCTGGGGTGTGGCTGAGTATGAAGGCTCTGGGTCCAGTAACACACACACACACACACACACACACACACACACACACACACCTTCCAGCGTCCACTAAAGAAAGATCTCTAAGCCAGGATGCCAGCAGGTAGTACTTAGGTGTTCTTCTGTCAGCTTGTGCTGAGTTCCCAAGCGATTTACAGGCTTCCAAAAGAGTAAAAGGCTGTTGGCAGCATCAGTGAGAGGGTAGAAACAAAACTCCAGTAGAGAAAGAACCTAAGTTGTCGCTACCAGTTTCTCCTGAAAAGTCTGCCTTAGGACGAATACAGTATCACTTGGGATTAAACAAAGAACGATTTAAAGCCTTACATTTTGAGAAACAGCTTTAGATCGAGGCTCGCGCGTTGCTGACTGTTCTGGTTTTGGCGGACTCTTCTGAGCGATCCATTCTCCTGGGCAACTCGGGATCCACGGTTGTTTTGGCTCCCCCTGCAGGCGCTTCGGGCAAACTGCACCCTGAAAAGCTGGATTTGCTCTAGAACAATTGGCCTGTGTTTTCTCTGGGATCCCACTGTGCCAGCTCCAGAAGGAGGAAAGTCCCCGCTTTCTGCCTTCACGCGCAGAGCTCGTCACTGTGGAAGTCGAGTTCTGCGCGTTCGCTTATCCGTGAGGTAAGCGACACCGCAAGCTGTACAGCTTCTTGAATTGTGCTGGCTGTCCTGAAGCCGGGAGCTAAATTTGTGGCTCACTTGTAAAACTTCACATTTTAACTTTATCTTGTGCTCCAAAATTTTGCCCTTTTCCCTGTTTCTTCTCACTTCTTCATTCTTTTTGATTTTAATTTTTTTGTCCTTTTGAATTGTGTATGATTTTTTTTGTTCACCCTGACTTTTAAAAAAATAAATCTATATGACTTTTTTTCTCTTGATTTCTAGTTTTCAATTCTCTCTTCACTCATCCATACTGATTTTTAAGTAGATGCCAGAAAAGCGCTGGATTCAGGGCCTTGGAAGGCAGAGTCACCGGCACTGTTCCCGTGAGAGCCTCGTTCTGCTCCGCCCCACGCTTGCTCGCAGCGCTGCTGCAGCTCCCCTTGCACGGGCTTCCTGTCCATGGCGCGGTCCTGTCCTTGGTGACCACACGGCCCAGGCACAGTGAAGAGGCGCAGCCCTTCCGGTTTTATTACAGGAAGGGGCTGCCGAGGGCTGGAGCGACAGGGCCCAGGGCAGGGAAACGGGGGAGCCCGGATGTGCTCTTGGTGCTGCATGCATGGTGGGGACACCCCAGGGAGGGCAGGAAACTGGGGTGATCACTTGGTTTCTTTCTCAGGAGCACCTTCCACCGGCCCTGGCAGTGCCCTCGGGTGGGCACCTCACTCCGGTCTCGGCCTCTGGGACCCTCCAGAGGAAATTGGGGGCAGCAAGGGCACAGGCTCGGGGCAGACAGCAGCCCTTGCTGAGCTCCCGGGAGGCACCCTGGAATCTTATCTGCGATCCAATAAAACCGGGCTGCAGGCTTCCTTGGCTGAAACCTCGGATTCTTCCCTTCAGCCCCATGAGGTGACAGGTGGCTGTGGACCAGCACGTGCCCGTTGTGTGAACTCAGTGCCACCTTTCTTCTGACAACACCCAGTGTCCAGGAGCCCCGGGTGGAAAGGTCACCGGACCGCAGGTAAGCCACGGGCCTTGGGCCCACCCTGGCTCGGCCTCTGGGGGAAGACCCGGCTCAGACCTCAGGGGACTTCTTTCTGAGACAAAGGTTGTGGCAGACTCTGGCCATCTGTCTTGTCAGCGCCACCTTCTCCAGCCTGGTGACTGGTGTGCAAACAGCGCTACCCTAAGCGAGTTCCTTTACGCGGCTCCAAAGTCGGAGAATGGATGGAAAGAACAGCAAACCAGAATTAGCTGAAGACCACAGAAAGCTTTTGAAAGGTCTCAGTGCATCCGGAGGATCCCGGATGTCCCAGATGTTCAAAGTAGTGGGCAGGGCGGAGAGGTGAGCAGCACTGAAGCCGCCACTTCCTGCCTGGGGACCAGGAGCCCAAGCACAAGGGACGCCCCCCCCAGCACCCAAGGGGCTGCTGTGCTTACCGCTTCCAGATGCCGAGCTGCAGCAGGTGCAGCCCCAGCAGCCAGTGGCGGCTCTGATGCCTGTCTGCCGGGAACCACAGGTAGCTCAGGCCCTGGACCAAGAGGCCAGGCAGCAGGGTGCAGAGGGCCAGCCATGCCCAGAGGCGCTGTCCTGTGGCTAAGAAGTAAGCCACAGAGCCGAGGCCTGGGGAGAGGAGACAGGGGTCACTGCGCTGGTGAATGGTTAAGCAGGCTGTGCTTTAGGGGCTCTGGCTTCTTTCTGGCTGGAAGAGAGCCCTTTCCACAGCACCGCAGGCCCAGACGTGCAAGCTAAGCCTCCCAGCCACCTGCTGTCCCTGATCTCACGTGGGAGCCCACTCTCCTCTCCTTCACTATGGGAGAAGTTCAAGCCTGGCTGGGCCAGGTGCACCACACTCCTGTCTCCTGAGCTAACTCGGAGACCTTGCTAAGGCTGAGCTAACGCACCTAAGTGTGTAGACGCTGGGTCTAACAGGCTACACCTCCGCCCCTAGTCCATGACTCCTTTGCTTCGTCCAAGAAAAGTCACTCTACTGTGTGTCCAATAAGATATCGCCAAATGTTAAATGCTCTCCCATGCTCCTCCCCGTGGTTGTCCCTATATGAGCCTGTGCATTTCCTGAATAAAGCGGAAGCGATCCAGAAACCTCCCTGGAGTCTGCCTGGTGATTTAGCGCCTTACCCTCCCAGTCCGAGCTCCCGAAGCTTGTTCTATGAGCGGGCTCTCAGATGACAATGCTTTGCCACAGCAGGGGCCCACGTGGGAAACTGCTCTCCATCCTGTGCTAAACGCCTGCCCTCCCCACTGTTACAGGCTGGACTCCCTGTCCCCTGGCTCCAGACTTTGCCTCCTGATGGCCTAGCACCATCCATGTGGCCCTGCAGGCCTGCCAGGCCTCTTGACTCTGCCGCCACCTGTGACCATGTGAATCTTGCTTTCCCGAGCTTCTTCTGGGTCCCTGTGTCACCCAGCCTGATGGATCATCTCATTAAAACCAGAAACAAAACAACCTGATCAGCAACACAGTGTCCTGAACCAGCAGGAAGACTGTGGGGGACCCAGCCAGGGAGCCAAGGGCCTGCTTGCAAGGGGGTAACAGGGAAGTGCTGGGCACTCCTGAAAGGAGCTACTGGCTAAGGTCAGTGTTCCCCCAAGATTGAGAACGAGACAAGGGTGTACACTCTCACCACTCATGCTGCACAATGCCAGCCAGAGCATCTCGGCAACAGAAAGAAAGCAAGCAATACAGATAGGAAAGGAGAAAGTCCAACCGGCCTCGTTTGCCAATGATGTGATTCTGTACCTAGAAAATCCTAAATACTCCACTAAAAGACTGTCGGAGCTGAGATACAAAATCAATACAAAAAAATCAGTAGATTTCTTTTTTCTTTTCCTTTTTTTTTTTTTTTTTTTAAAGACAGGGTCTCACTGTGTATTTGAGACTGACCTGGAACTATGTAGCCCAGGCTGGTCTCGAACTCACAGAGATCCTCCTGCCTCAGCCTCCCAAATGCTGGGATTACAGGTGTGCACCACCACACCCAGCAGTAGCTTTTTTATATAACACCAACGAACTCGCTGAGAAAAAAATCAGGATAGTTATCCCCCCCCCACATCTAGGAATAAGCCTAGCTAACAACCTGAAAAACCTCTACAAAGAAAATTATAGAGCGCTAAAGACATGGAAGAAGACACCAGAGGTAGGAAGACCTCCCACGTTCCTGTGTCGGGACAATTAGAACTGTTAACAAGCTGGCGCGGTGGCACATGTCAGCAATGCCAGCTACTCGGGAAGCTGACGCAGGAGGTATTGCCAAGTTTGAAGCTAACTTGGGGAACTCAGGAAGTTGAAATGAATTTTTTTCTCTAAATGAAATTAACAACAAAAAAAAGGTTGGGGATGTAGGTCAGTGGCAGACAGCGCTTGCCTAGCGAGCACCTGGCCCTAGGTCCAATCCCTAGCATGGTGGCGGGGTGTTAGAGAGAAGTGATCTGCAGCCAGTGGAATTTTCACCAAAATATCAACAACATTCTTCACAGAGCTAGCAAAACATAAAACTCATATGGAAGCACAAAGACGCTCAATACCCTCAGCAGTCCTGAGTGAAAAGATCATTGTGAGAGACACAATGCCTGATTTCAAAAATCTACGACAGCACCATGGTAACAAAGACAGCGAGATGCTGGTGAAAAGAAAGAGAAAGAAAGAAATAAAAAAGAAAGAAGTCAAGAGACCAAATAAATAGATACACCCTGAGGAAACACAAGAGAAAGTAAATAAATCCATGCATCTCTGGCCCTCTGACTCCTGACACAGGTGCCCAAAGCAGAACATTGGAGAAAGGACAATGGTGCTGGGGAAAATGGTGTTGGGAAAACCGGATATTCAAATGCAGAAGATTAAAACTGGACCCCTATTTCTTACCCCGTGCAAAAATCAACTCAGAATAGATTGGAGACCTTAACCTAATAGCTGAAACCCTGAAACTATTAGAGGAAAGCAGAAGGAAAACAAGATTCCACACAGGCAGTGACTTTCCAGAAAGAACTCCAGCAACTCAGGAGATAAGAAGCAAGAGCTGAAAAATTAAAAATCTGCACAGCAGAGGAAACTATCAGCAGAGCAGGGACAACGTACAGAACGGGAGAGAATCTTCCCCAGCTGCTATTCAAAGAGGATCAATATCCAGAATACACAAAGAACCCCCAAAACTTAACAAAAGACCCCAGCTATTCCATAAAAAGCGGGCAAATGATCTGAACAGGCACTTCTCAAAAGAAGAACAAATCTATGAAAAAGTATTTGGGCAACAGGGAGACGCAAATCAAATCCACAGCGAGAGACCACCTAGACCTGTTCAGAATAGCTCTTAGGAACAAAAAGTAACATGCTGGCCCAGAGGTGCAGGTGGGCATGGGTCAGGACGGCCTCATGGGGAGGTGGGGAGGCTTCTCACAAATGGAATCCTGGGCTTCGCAGGAGAACGATCCGGAGGACATCACGGGAAGCCAGACAGACAACTGCCACCCGCGGCAGCTAAAGAAAAGATGACTGAGCAGCAGAGGCACTAGTGGCCGGAGGGGACAGGCTGGATGAGAGGTGGGAGGGGAGACCGTGCGTGGAAACGTCACATCGAAACGCACTGGAGTGTAATTATACATTTAATTGGAGGAAAACAAAGGCGCAAAGGCTGGCCCAGAGCCGGTCAGGTTCCCAGAGCAGGTCAGGTTCCCGCCGGGGCCCGCAGGTCCCCGGCGCCGGGCGCAGTCTCCCTCCAGCCCCGGAGCCTCCAGCCTGCAGCGAGGCGGAAGTGGGCGGAGGCGCTCGTCCCGCGCGGGACGGGCTCCGATTCAAACGGGAAAGGCGCGAAAAGGTGCCATGTTGCCAGCCTGCACTCGGGCTCGGCCTAGACCCCAAAGGGAGCCCCTGTTCTCCCGAACCCGTCTTCTCCTGGCCGGCGAAAGCCACAGAGAGCTGCATGCGGCGTCCTCCGTTGCCCGGGGGCACGGGGTGGGAACCCTGCATCCGCGGGGAATCTTGCACGGGGAGAGGGGCCCCATCCCCAGGGGGCTCATGCACGGGGAGAGGGGCCCCACACCCAGGGGGCTCATGCACGGGGAGAGGGGCCCCGTTTCCCCGGGGACTCATGCGCGGAGAGGGACCCCCATCCCTGGGGACTCATGCAGGCCCTGGATGGAGCGCAGGGAGGGAAGGAGCAGGGAGTCCTGCAGACGTCCGCACGGGTCGTGCCTCTGCCAGGGCTGGCGGGCGGGAGGAGTCGCCCAGCGTGCGTCGCACGCAGTGCTTGGCGGGCCGAGCCCCGCAG